TTTTGTTTCTTCCCCTTTGCAATTGCTTCCCATGAAACCCTTAATATTTTGTTCATAAAGTCAATTAATTTGTGTATATTTTTTTATTCATTCATACTCTATATTTAAATTTTAACTAACTTTAATAAAATAATTTATAAATTATTTTATTATAATTAAAACTTATTTATTTTGAATACTGAAACTGTTTTTTAGCCCCCGGTAAAAAAATAATGGATTCAACGCTGCACTTAATTGTAATTATTTCTAACAAAGCATCCTTTTAGAAATAAATATTTTTTAGTCAAAAAAGAAACCAATTGAATCATTAATTGTTAGGAACGAAATGATTTTTAAAAAGATGTGGGAAAAAATTATCAATAATTTGGCTTACATACTAACGCAAGTTATTGAATTAATTGGTTAAATATTCCTATTCTTTAAGAGACATGAAACCCCTTTCACCCATTCTTCATTATGAAAAATGATAATTCATCTTCTTTGCATGAACTTGCGAGTATCTGACAAAGACTGTATGCAAAGAGTCTTATAAAAATCACTACGCCAAAATTGGTTTTTTGTATCGCCTACTTTAATAGCGCTTTTTAAATAAGCGCTATTAAAAAGGAAACAAACATATTTATAATAGCGCTTTATAGTAAAGCGCTATTAAAGAGTACAGAGAATATGATTTTGATAGCACTTTGTAAAAAAGCGCTATTATAGATATTCACTAAGATAGCGCTTTTCTAAAAAGCGCTATTAAAATGTTGTATTACAATAGCACTTTTATAAAAGCGCTATTATTAAAAGCACTACGATAGCGCTTTTTAAAAAACGCTATTAAAATATGTAACTACAATAGCGCTTTTTGAAAAAGCGCTATTAAAATGTTGCACTATAATAGCACTTTTATAAAAGCGCTATTATTAAACTATCCTATGTTCACTACGATAGCGCTTTTTAAAAAAACGCTACTAAAATATTTAGCATTAGACATTAAGATAGCGCTTTTAAAAAAGCGCTATTAAAATATTTCACTAAAATATAAAATATTAAACTGTTAGCATTACTAAAATTAATTAATTAAAAGACCAATTCCTTTCCCACATGTATTTTTCGTTTTGGGGCAAAATCTTTTCTACTACCGCAAAAAACAAAACACATCATCACCGTCACTCATCTTCTTCATCGATTCACCGCCGTCACTCATCTTCTTCATCGATTCACCACCGTCACCCTTCTCTTCATTGATATCCGGTAATCGCTTTGATGGAATTTCATTACCGTGGGATGAACGTGCTGTAACATCATCTACTGGTGGACTGGTACTAATATCTATATTACATCCTACGTTCCTCCTGTTGTATCTTTGCGTTGTTTATTTTAGGGTAAACAAAACACTGGGGCCATTTTCCACGGGTTTCCCAATATTGATCATACGCAAGATTTTGTGAGAAAGGATATCATTGGATGGCTTCAGTTTCTACGCCATAAAGTAGGCTTTCAAGATTTTCGTTTTGATTTTGCAAAAGGGTAAGATGTGTTGTGCCTTTTGAATATTGAGGGTTTTCCTTTGGCTTTATACTTTACAACAAAGGGAATTCTCCAGGTACCAAACATTTTGTGCTCATTATCTTATATGGACCATGATTCCCTACTGCTAAATTCAATTGCTTAATCTCAAGTTTATTGAATTCATGCTACAAACTTCTTTCCTCATGCTGCCATTTGTAGGAAGCTGTCAAGAGAGAATACTGGCGACTGTGTGATGCTCAAGGGAAGCCACCTGGTGTGATTGGGTGGTGGCCTTCAAGATCAGCGACATTTATAGAAAATCATGATACTGGCTCAACTCAGGTGACTCAAATTTATATGCATCTTTCTTATTTCTTAGTGACAACTGGGAAAGACTGGTCTGGTATAATAGATTTATGTAAAATTAATTTTGCTTTTGAAAATACCTTTTGAAAATAATCTCTAGTGTCGAGTAACTGCAGCCTTTGACAGGATTTGGAGTGTTTACAGTTGTAGAATCTAGAGGTCCAGATTATAAGAAAGATGATTTAGTTTGGGGTATGACTAAATGGCAAGAGTACAGTTTGATCCCTGCAGCTCAAATACTTTTCAAAATTGAGCACACTGATGTTCCTCTTTCCTACTATACCCGAATTCTCGGTATGTATTCAACAATTTCAATTTATATTGATGTTATTTTGTCATTGTATTGTGTCTTTTGACATAAGTTGTGTTTTTGTTTGAGTACATGTATGCCGGGAATGACTGCTTATGCAGGTTTCTTTGAAGTAGGAAGTCCTAAGAAAGGAGAGACTGTTTTTGTTTCAGCTGCCTCTGGTGCCGTTGGTCAACTTGTTGGCCAATTTGCTAAATTGCACGGTTTCTATGTCGTTGGAAGTGCTGGAACTAAAGAAAAGGTGGATCTGTTGAAGAATAAATTTGGATATGATGAAGCCTTTAACTACAAAGAAGAACCAGACCTCAATGCAGCTTTGAAAAGGTATGTTTTTTTAAACTGTTTTATGCTAGATTTATAATTCAATTTGTTTTTTCGACAGAAAGTATAGTTATCTATGTAGCATTGATACTATATTAAAGGGGTGTCCGACACACCAGTGTCACTTGCATTTGCATTCAATGATCAAGTGTCTATGTATCAGTTTCATGTTAGTGTTCATAGATTTAATATCATGAGACACTGATAACTAACTGATATTAATTTGTGTAAGTTAGATACTTTCCTGAAGGCATTGACATTTATTTTGAGAATGTTGGGGTAAAGACACTTGATGTTGCACTTTTGAACACGAGAGTCCATGGTCGCATACCTGTGTGTGGAATGATTTCACAGTATAATCTTGCTCAACCTGAAGGTGTAACGAACTTGGCACATATCATATATAAGAGGGTTCGACTGGAAGGTTTTGTTGTAAATGAGTACTATCACCTTTATACAAAATTCTTGGAGTTTATTTTGCCTCTTATAAGAGAAGGAAAGATTGCGTATGTGGAAGACATAGCTGAGGGTCTTGAGAATGGTCCTGCAGCTTTGGTTGGCCTTTTTAGCGGTCGCAACGTTGGTAAACAAGTGCTTGTAGTTAGTTGCTCATGAGTGAATCAATGCAGATGCTTTTGTTAAATGTTTAGGCCTTTTTTTCAATGTTGGGAAACTGCGCAATAAAATGAAGGAATTACAAGAAGCTGCTACTAATGCACTCAAAGAAGATGGGCCTTCTACAAAGACTATTTCTATTTCTTGTTTGGAATGAAATAATTATTATCATTTATAATTTTGAAGGAAAGCACAGGTATTTATTAAGCATACAAGAATTGATATTTTTTGCTCTTATAATTGATATGTATGTTAGATGTTCGATTAAATGCCTCAGAGAAATAAATAGTTAATTATTCTGAATGATTATCATATTATGTTAGTACTCAAGTGTTAGTCTAATATTGTCTTTCGTCCTTGTGAAGAAATATATTTGATATTACTCCTGCAGCAACAATAAGTAGACCTGTAGCTAATGTTACCAAGCCAACAATTAATCCACGGTAGCTTTCTTTAAGTCGATTCTCGACTATTAAAACCATAATTGCTTTCTTAGATAATTTGTACTGGTTTAATTGTTTTGTTCATTATGCTATGAATCCCATTGTTAACCTGATGCATATTCTTGTTGTTGAAAGCTCTGGTAACTTTGTGTTTTTTGTGTTGATTTTCATGTACCGACATCAGCTTGGTGTGGGGCATTCGATGAAGCACCTTGGAAATTTACCTTAATGAAGAGATCCTGGCTTAAAAGAAAGAATTTGGATGCGCAGAATTTGGCCGCAATGATAAAAAGTATATCTGGTAATTTTTCTGCTACTGTAGTGAACTTTCAAGCTATTTTCTAATGCTTCTTTCTAACAAGTATGTATTGCTCAATTGTAAAAGTGGTTTTAAAGGCAAACCCAATTATCATGAATGAACTCTATTGTTACCAGGAAAGTCCATGTGAAAGGCAAACTTCTTTACTGCAAACTTTATTGTATTGCTCAATTTTGAAAGTCCATGTGAAAACCACTTTACTGCAAACTTTCAAAGTGATTTTGGACCTGTTATCATGAATGAACTCTATTGTCTGATTCTGGTAATTCACATGTATTGCTCAAAGTTTTGAGTTGTTGAGCTCTATTGTTGTCAATGCGTTGCAGTGAGTTTGAAAGTGTCATGAATGAACCAACTGGTAATCCTCCACACGCATTCCTTCTTAAAGCATCCTCGTATGGACTTTCAATCCGAGGACTTTCTGCAAAACTTTACCGGAATCACCGTCAATTTCATCAAAAAGTGCCTTCAATAAATCAATTGCTTCATTTGTCAATTCAAGACCCTGATCAGGTACACATTTCAAAGTTAGAATTAGATCATCAACCAGCTTCACATCCATGTTATATCCACACCTTCTGAGCACAGTCCATGATCATTCACACCTTCAAACACAACTATATGCATAACACTTTTTTTACATCTAAAATTTTCTATGCAACAACAGGTCTGGGATAGAATCGAGAATATTGAATGACTTGACGATGGAAGTTGCTGCATCATGCTAGAGAAAAATACTTCCTATATACACTGACGAGATAGGAAGGTGTCCTTCGACAACAGTTCAACAACTGCTTTCTTGATCCGTTGAAGACCTAAACCGGGTTTCAAATCATCACCCCAAGTTAAACATGTGTTATCTAAGTGACAAGTTGGTGTTGGTGTGAAAGGTTTCTTGTTCGTTGCGAGATCGAGACGGAGTACATGAGCTGTGGTGATGAAGAATATGACAGCATGTTGTATTTATATGTATTGGTCCCATTCTCATTTAGTAGCTGAAGATATCTTCTTAGCATTTGGAACCTTTACAATCCTTGACTTTTCATGGAATTTTGTTTGAATTTTGTGTTGATCCTTTTGTTATGGTCTATGCAGGCTTACTATCATCGTCCACAACTTATAACCTCAGATGCAACTTGATGAAAATAAACTTCAGCTTATGGCTGCTATTGATCCAGCTTTGGAACAAAATGAAGAAACATGTGAAAGTATAACTATTGCTGCAGAACTTGCTGGACATTGCACTGCTATGGAACCATACCATAGGCAAAATATGAGTCATGCTGTCAATGTACTATCAGCAGTAGTGGAGAAATGGCGACCGGTTTCTGATGAACTCGACGACTCCTATTCTGCTGTTGACGGTACTCGACCACTTCGACAAATGTTGAAAATTTGGAAGGATGCAGAAAACGGCAAGTTTAGTTATAGTAGCACTTCTGCTAGTTTTGAAGACAGTAAAGGGAGTGTTGCAGTGCGGCCTACCAGATTCACTGACTCTTTCACTTCTGCTTATGCTAGTGAATTTAAATATAAGGTTTGGTGTGTAACATGATAAAACTTAGCATAGAGGATTACTCTTGGCATGCAGAAGAAATCAACGGCCATGATCCTGCCCTTGCGTTGATCATTCGCGTGATTTAAGACTTGCGAGTTTCTGATTATGTCAAGAACTACAAACCATGTTGACGCTCCCTGGAATATTGGATGAAGTCATTCGAGTACAGATGATATCTTAGTGCTGAGATGTATGTACTGGTCATGAATTCCATGGCGATGTCGCAGCTACCAAAATCTCGTAAGCTATGTCTCAAAATCCTATACCATCTACTTTATCAAAAACTTGGCTTTGTTTAACAGTTTCACTTGTTTTTTAGGTTCACAACCGTCGGCAGCAACTTGGAAACCAGGATAGCACAAGGTCTACTCAAGTTTTAGTCTAATATTGTCTTTACGTCGAGGTGCCAAAGGAACTGGAATGAAGACTATTGAATTAGCACTCTCCATGTGTGATATTGTTGATATATATGGTTTCACCGTTGATCCTGGATACACTGAATAGTGGGTTTCTTTCCCCTGGATACACAGAAGAGTTCAACTGGTAAGGCTGGGGGTTTAGGACAGTTTGGCAATTGTAGAGTGTGGGGCAATGTAAACCCAGACAAAAGTGGACATATCTCAGGCTCACCAGACATGAGTGATCTCAGGAAGAATTCAAATTATAAAAAATGGGAAGTCATGCCTTTAAAAAGTTTGAGGAAAAAAGCACAGGTTCACTATAGGAAGATCAGATGGAAGGGGTCTCCCAATATAAAATAGATGGCAATAAGTTGGATGATCTAGTGTGTGTGAGACACTCCTTAAAATCTGACGTGTAAATGGTGCACTTTAGTACTTTTCTTCTCGTTTGAAATATTGTGTCTGCTGCTGCATACAGGCATCATATATATGAAAAACATAGGGGTCCTAACTCTGTAGAATTGAAGGAAATTGGTCCACGGTTTGATTTGCGACTATATCAGTAAGTTCATGAAAACTCAGTAAGTTCGTTGAGTTTTTCTGGCAAAATTATTAAATTTCGTTTGTAGTGATACTGTATTCAATAAATGTTGTTCCATGTATCAATCATTCCTAAGGAAACAGAAAATGTTCCCTCAATGAGAATGTTATGACAAAAGATTCTTAAATTACTTTTAGCTTGTTCGAGATCTCAACAAATTATAATAGATATAGTTGTATCACTAATGACTTGTATTATGCATCTGTTCTTATCTTGACTTAATGGAAATGATTTGCATCAATATTATATGTATGCATCAATACTGTGCATCGATATATTGTATCAATATTATATGTATGCATCAATACTATGCATCAATATATTGTATACATCAATATTATATATATATATATATATATATATATATATATATATATATATATATATATATATATATATATATATATATATATATATATATATATATATATATATATATATATATATATATATATATATATATATATATATATATATATATATATATATTATATTATATATATATATATATATATATATATATATATATATATATATATATATATATATATATATATATATATATATATATATATATATATATATATATATATATATATATATATATATATAATGATTTGGTGTAAAAAAAAAGTGTATTATAATATATAGCGGTCTGAAGAGAGCGAGCTATAATAGCGCTTTGTTAGAAAGTGCTATCAAAATTAAAGTAATTTACCGGTATTTCAATAGCGCTTTGTTTGGAAGTGCTATCGAATATGTGGATTATAATAGCGCTTTGTTTAAAAGTGCTATTAAATATGTGTCCTATAATAGCGCTTTATTGGAAAGCGCTATTAAATATGTGTCCTATAATAGCGCTTTGTTTGAAAGTGCTATCAAAATTAAAGCAAATTACCGGTGCTATAATAGCGCTTTGTTTGAAAGCGCTATCAAATATGTGACTTATAATAGCGTTTTTGTAAAAGCGCTATTAAATACAGGTCCTATAATAGCGCTTTTGAAAAAGCGCTATTAATAACCAGAACTATAATAGCGCTTTTAAAGCGCTATTAAAAATTTTGTTTTATAATAGCGCCTTGATTAATAGCGCTTTAAAGCGCTATTAAAAAACAAAAAAAGCGCTATTAAAAAACGTTTTTGTAGTAGTGAATGTGATGAACATGTATTACAATATATGAATGTTGAACCAAAGAGTTTGAATTCAAAGTTTTATGTGTATGTGAAACATCTTCCATAACTCTGTATTCCCTTAACCTTCAATTTTATCCTCAATAGGAAATTCAATGGTAGCTGCGAGATAGCGTTGGTGTAAGCTCTAGAGGTCATTTATTTTATAAGAAATTGGTATTTGTATTTTATTATCTAGTAGTGATATTAATACATTTCTCTATTAAATTTATTTTTCCTAAGTAATAATGTCCCTAGAATGGCTGCTATGTTTAATTTAACAATAAATATGACTTACTTGCGAGTCTACATTAAACATTAGGGCACTATTCTTCAATTATTTGTAGTCGTAGTTAATTATTCTGTGAAATATCATGAAAGCATAGAGACGATTACTTGGATAGACAACTGATCACATATCGTTGATTATGGATAAAGAGTTATTGAGACTTCGCATAGGTATAAATAAGTATTACGTGTAATATTGATATTTGATTGACCATCCATGAAAATAATACTTAAAATTCTATTTAAGTGGCATAACTTTTTCTATTATTGATAATGGTGTATACCATCCTTTGACTTCAAACCTTTATGGACCCTAGATATGGAGTCTAGAATTTTATTTTCGTTAATTCGAGATTTGAAATATAATGGTCATAAAAATATTCGATGGGTAACCATAAATCATCTTGAAGAACAAGAGTTACTTAACTGTAATATTTCATCATGCAAAACGTGATGAATGTCTAAGGGCTGACTATGTATCTAGACAACGGTGACATGGTATATGTCTTGTTTTCAATTCATGCATTGATGTAAAAGAAAATTGTACTAATAAATGTAATCGAGAAATGGTTTTGTAGTATCACAGGAAACTGTTTCACTCTAGTAGCGGTAAAGGTTGCTAGATACCACTTACTATTTATTATGGTAAATGTTTGATTAAATATAATTTTCAATATTAGGGGATTATACAAAGCCATAGATGCAAGAACAAATTGATGTAAAAAATTTAAGTAAAACATATTCCATGGCGCAATTTTGCAATGCACATTTGAAAACTAGAGAACTATGGTACACCATAAGGTACAATGTAATTAAGTCGGATGTGATACACTGTAATTGATTATGTCGTTAAGTGGATTTGTTCAACAATGCGGCTCACACAAGTGGTTATATATACATAACTCTTGTTCTTAACTAAATTATTTTTAACAATATTCGTTTTAGAAATATAAGTTTTATTCATGATATATATAGCACATTATATAAGTGTTATATCTATTATCTCTTTAATTCTAAATTTCTAGAAAAGTCAGAAACATCCGCAAGTTAAGTTCATTGCGTGGTATAATGTAAATCATATATTAGATGCCATAAATCTCTAAGAAGAACATGAAATACCTATGAAAGTTATGTAAAACATGTCCACAGACATCAATTTCAAAATAATAAGCTAACAAACCATTGGGTCCATAGCTCAGTGGTAGAGCATTTGACTGCAGATCAAGAGGTCACCGGTTCGAACCCGATTGGGCCCTATTAAATTAGTTTAATTTTTTCATAAAAAAATATTCACTGGTTATTTAAAAATAAGTTCTTTTAGCGCAAAATTGATAATCTCTTATAAATCATTTTCTTTTGCATTTCTCTCAAAAATTCAAACAAATTAGTTAAACATTATTATATTTTAGGATACATTAAGTCCTTTTCAATCAACCTTCCTTTTAAGAAAAGTTTTTTTTCCCTTGGTTGTCAACAAGAATTGTGAGTAGGAGACAATGACAATATGCCAAGAGTCCTATAAAAATTCAATGAACATTAAAAATAAATATAATAAATTTTAACCAAACACTTAAAATTAAAAGTTGTATGCATGATATGCAACATCTTCAATAACTTTAGTATCACTGACCATTTTTGTTTTAACTAAATTTAAAATTCAAGAGGTAGTTGAAGACGTTTCCATGGTGTGACACGTAGTAATGAATATAAAGGCTCCAAACGATCTCTAGGAAGAACTTCAAATACCTTTGTAAACTATGTAAAATATGTACCAAAAACATATGTGCAAAATATTAGTTTCTCTATAATAAGCACACCAATCATAGGGTCCATTGCTAGGTTGTAGAGCATTTGAGAGCAGATCAAGAAGTAATTGACTCAACCCTGATTTGAACCTTCTAAAAATAAGTATTTTTTATTAATAAAATGACCACATTAAATTTTGGGATCCACTTGAATCACACTAGAGACGTAAGACCCCATAAGAAAATCAAATTCTCCTTTAATAATATTATTATAATTTATTAACCTCGTGGACACACTAAATTATTCTTATTCGACACATTACACCTTTACACTAGTTTAATTTGATATTTTCATTATAATTTTTTCACTAATACCATAAGTTAATTCTCCTTAGTAAAATTTATCTTCTCCTCCCAGCATAACAACATTAACCATTTATTTTGTTTCTTCCCCTTTGCAATTGCTTCCCATGAAACCCTTAATATTTTGTTCATAAAATCAATTAATTTGTGTATATTTTTTTATTCATTCATACTCTATATTTAAATTTTAACTAACTTTAATAAAATAATTTATAAATTATTTTATTATAATTAAAACTTATTTATTTTGAATACTGAAACTGTTTTTTAGCCCCCGGTAAAAAAATAATGGATTCAACGCTGCACTTAATTGTAATTATTTCTAACAAAGCATCCTTTTAGAAATAAATATTTTTTAGTCAAAAAAGAAACCAATTGAATCATTAATTGTTAGGAACGAAATGATTTTTAAAAAGATGTGGGAAAAAA